CTATGACTTCTTTGAGGGGAATAAAGTCTGAAGAAAGAGCAGGAAATACGCTTATCCTATCTTTATCATAGAAGACTTTCTCTTTGGTGTAATTTTGACTCTGCTCAGAGACTCAGGTGTAAGCCTCTTGACTGCAAAAGTCACAAGAGAATCAAGGGTTTGCAGAAGGCTGTGGAGGCAGAAGAGATGTATCCTACTTTACTTTTGGGTCATAGTCTAACTGAATAAACTCAGCCCCTTAAATCACAGAATCATTGAGTGATTTGGGTTGGAAGGGACCTTAAAGATCATCGGGTTCCAACCCCCCTGTCATGGGCAGGGCACCTTCCACTAGACCAGGTTGCTCAAAGCCCCATCCAACCCAGCCTTGAACACTTCCAGAGAGGTGGCATCCACAAATTCTCTGGGCAAGCTGTACCAGTGACTCACCACCCTCATAGAGAAGAATTCCTTCCTTATATGTAATCTAAATCTGCCCTCTTCATTTTAAAGCCATTACCCCTTGACCTATCACTATATGCCCTCATAAAAAGTCCCTCTGCAGCTCTCTCGTAGGCCCCTTCAGGCACTGGAAGGCAGCTATAAGGTGCCCCGCAGCCTTCTCTTCTCCAGGCTGAACAGCCCCAACTCTCTCAGCACTTCCTCAAAGGAGAGCTATTTCATCCCTTGGATCATTTTTGTGCCCTCCTCTGGCCCCACTCTAACAGGTCCATGTCTTTCCTGTGCTGAGGGCTCCAGAGCTGGATGCAGGACTCCCGGTGGGCTCTCACCAAAGCGGAGCCGGAGCACAGGTGCAGAATCCCATCCCTCGACCTGCTGGCCATGCTGCTGGGGATGCAGCCCAGGGTACGGTTGGCCTTCTGGGCTGTGAGTGCACATTTCCAGGTCATGTCCTTCTTTTCATCCACCAGTACCCTCAAATCCTTCTCCTCAGGGCTGCTCTCAATCCCTTCTTCACCCAGCCTGTATTTGTGCTTGGCATTGCCCTGACCTGCGTACAGGACCTTGCACTTGGCCTTGTTGCCTTCTGAGGTTTGCACAGGCCCACCTCTCCAGCCTGTCCAGGTCCCTTTGGATGGCATCCCGTCCTTCCAGCGTGTCAACCACCTCATTAAAGTTTTACTAAGTTTAAATAAGGATTTATACATTTCGAAAAATGGTGCTTGGAAACAAAATTTAAAATAAAGAGTGAGAGGAATGAGGAATGTAATAGAATCACAGGAAGGCAGAGGTGTTTCCCCCTTTCATTGTTCTTAATTAAAAAAAAAAGCAAACAACTGAAACTGAGAAGGGTTTGTTTAGTCCTCCACGGCCATCAGTGCTGATGGCTCTGGGACAGGGATTTGGGGGCCTGCTCACACCCTTCCATTTCAAGCATCTCACCCTGGCTAAGGTGGGCTTCCCAACTCCAGGGCGGTGAACATCTCCCTGAGTCGGTCCTGTTCCTGTGCCAGTCCCTGGGTGCTGAAGGAGTTGTCCTCTGACATGGTGCCCAAGCTCCCGTTTCAGTCTAGGAAATAACTTTCCCTTCATTTTTTCTCCCAGCACCATCCCTCAGCCCTGGGGACTCTGCCCTCTCCTCCCAAATGCCATGGGGGCCAACAAGACTGGTGCTGGGAAACTGCAGATTTCCCAAACTCCCTCAGGGAGGTTGAAGAGGCTCAAGAAATTAACACCTCAAGTCAACAATATTAGTATTTCCACTTCTGGTCCTTCTTTATGCTCCAGGTTGAATTTTGCTCTAAAGGCAACTCAGCATCTTGCAGACAACTACTAAAGATGCTCCGTCTCCCAGGATTCACGCTAGAGGTATTTAGGAAGTTACTGTACCTAGATATGTACTCACCACCACCACTGTCCCCGCAGTGATGTTAGACTTTCTTTCTCAGCTGCTTCCCAGTTCATTACAGTGACCTCAACCAATGGCCTTGAACTGAGGCAACTGATGGACAGGTTCACCTTTATTCTGCATCTCCCACTAAGCTTCAAGGGACAAGCAGGCACTAGCAACATTACAAACAGCCCCCAAATGAATCCTCAGAGAGTCACAGCCTTCTGTAGGTCTCCATACCCTTGCAGCATGGAGCTGAACTCCTGGCCTCCACCGTTCCCATAAGCGTTGAGTTGTACGACTCCATTCCTGATCTTTTGTTCATTTCTACATGGTGTTTCAAAGTTGCAGTAATGGTACCAGCTGCAAGGACTTACCAGAGCTCTGATGTGCTACGGCAGCAGTTGGATGTCATGGAAGAACGGGCACACCTTCTAAAAACACTGTGATGCTCTTGTCTCCCAAGATTGGTATGGGTACCTGTCCTGAAGTTTAAGTGATGACACAGCTCACTTGGGATATTTATAGTTTTTCTGCACTTGTATGCCTGTTGTTTGTTGCCACCTGATGAGACCTGCAATACACTCTCAGCCCATGATAAATCTCTGTGCCAATATTTAGTGTCTCAAGAGAAAGATACCATGGAGGATGCTTCATGTGCAATATTTCAGCCAGGCTACTTGGTAACCAAATGGCAAAGACTCTCAATGGCAGAGAGAGTCTATCATACTTGCAAAAAACATATAGAATAAACTTTGGAATTATCATAACTGGCAGAAGTTGACGTGAATAGGGAGTTTATTTTAGGTTTTCATTTTCTATTTTGTTCTGCTTGCAATTAAAAATAAATGGTGTAAAGCTGGTTTATAAAAACACTACCAAACAAAAAACCTCTTTACCCAAATTAAAAACAACAACCCGTAAGAGGAAAATACTCCACAGCATTTAGAGTTCTGCAGGGACTAGTATACACACACGGATTTTAATTTTCCATGGCCTGTAAGTGTTATAATCTCTATCAACTGCTTGCACTCTGGGACCATGACCAACACCAGTGCTTGAACTCTGATTGGTTCTTGGCTTCTTTCTTCTTTCTTTACACTGGATTTAGAATTCACATTTGATCCAAGAATTTGCAGGGATAAAGAAGTTATTACAGCAATCTCTTCCTCTCGAGTCTAACTCACAAGGCTGTTACAGGCCACTGTGTCAACAAATCACAGAGGTCTGTGAGTCAACGCAACCAGTGTGAAGGCCACAACTTGTCTCAGGGACAAAGGCATTACTGCTGGAGAAACTACACTGAGAGATTAAAAGACGACTCAGGACATTCAGATGCCAGGGCTGTCTTCATGATTTTACTACTAGTAGTCCTTTCTTTGTGTCCATGGCAAATATACCACCACACATTGCAAGAGTTATTCCTCCAAAATAATTTTGTGTTTATATCTAGTGTGCTGTGCCTTGACACTGCAGGAAGAGTTACAACCATTGACCTCTCCAGGATCCTCTGAAGTCATGAGCTCTCCACCTTTTCCAACTCACACACCCCACCTTTAGAGATGTATTCCTACCTGAGTTGCTTTTTCCCTTTACTTTTCAGTGCAAGGCTGTCCAGAATGAATAGCTCTGGCAGCTTTGGTACTACACAGACTTCTGTTTCAGTACTGCCACGTTAACCACCCCATTACATCCTGCTTAGTCACGTTAAAACAATGCTTCACTTTCTACGACTGGATTAGCTGGGACAGCAAAAGCATTTTTATCCCATTCATTACCGTCAACCACTCTTTCTGCTATTTGAAAATGATAACCAGACAGGGAAACAAAGGCGACATGACCATTTGTCCAGAATTTAAGGACCTGTGACTGTCCAAGCTGATGTCTTTCTGCTCCTGTTGAGGGGCAGCCTAGTTCTGTGATGGGTGACATAGAAGAGCAGCTCCAGCTGCTGCTGGATGTCTTTTATATTTCTACCTGGAGCTTCTCAGAAGGGCACAAAAGACCTCTGGGACAACACCCATGTTGTGGAGTGTGGCTGGGAGACTTTGCTACCTTACAGCCAGGTTGGTGCCATCCTCGCTTTCCCAGCTGTTCCTCTGAGAAACAAGTGACCCACAGAGCCCTCTGCAACTCAAAGTAGTGATGGCAAGATAAAATGTCTCAGAGACCTCTGCATCAATCAACAGACTGAGCTTACCCTATCTCAGTTCTCTCTTGAAGACACATAGTTATCCTTAATTTACATTTGCTAATGGTAAACTGCTATCATGATTTGATAGACTTTCACTGGCAAAACATGTATAATACTGTGGCTGCCAAAGTTTATACAGGTCCCCTCCAAGTAAGTCACTGCAGCTGAGACAGGAACCTGGGAACATTTATTAAAAAGAAGGAGAGGTAGGAGATGACATCCAAAGACCAAGTTTCCACAGAATTAATGGGAAAGGAGAAAGAGGAACCTACATTTTAAATAAGCATCTCAGAGTTTGCCATGAACTATCAAACTGGTCTGGAAAGCAGATTTCTGCTCCATTGAGAGTTCTTAATAGCATTGGATAACTAAGATAAACAGAGACTGAAGGGCTGCCTTAGACACATACAAAATTATTGAATTATGACATGTTTGAAAAGTTATTTACTTTACAGACTATTTACATAAGGTTCACTTCCTCTTCATATATAAGCTCAAATATTACAAAGATTTTTTTTCCCCCCTTAATGAGAGGACTACATTCAACAGCCCCACAAACATCCATAATTAACTTGCACATTCCTAGAAAGTTTTCCAGGCACTCCCCTCCCCAGAGCCCATGCAATACCAAGGAAACCCCGCTCCCTCACCAGGCACACGAGGCATGTGTGGCAAGAAAACACAGGGCATCAAAAGGAAGAGGGGAAAGAGGAGACGGAGTATAAAGTGATGACCCTGAGACCAAAGCTTTACTTATTGCTGTGCTATAGGCACCTGACAGGCTTCATGCCAGCCTCCTCATCTCTCTGTACCTCAATTCACCGCAGTTTTAACGAATACAGATCATTGTATCCAGCGTAGAAATTTTATCTCAGAGTTTTGGTAGAAGACACTTCCTTGCTCTGTAAGGGACATTGCTATTCAAGCAGCTGAGTTTTCTCAATTAGCTAGCCCATCTGCAACGCTCTTGCTTACCTGAGAAGTGTCGTGGTTGAATATGACAGCATTCAGGTCTCCGCAGTTATAATGCTTGATGAGATCCTCAGTGGTATACGGGGCCTGCAAACTACCCGCTCGGAGGCTCTCATGTTGGAGCAGAGTTTGGTTTAGAGCAAACAGCACCTGTAGAAACGCAGACAGGAAAACCAGTGAGGAGTTAAAGATATTAGGAATCAAAGCAGCAAAGCCTAAAAGGCCAAAGTTTGAAGAACCCTCTTGCTCCCAAAGTCTGTTGACCCATCCTGGCCCACAGTAACAAGTGCTGGTCTTTGGGCATTCCCAAATGGAAGGGGAGTCAGATGCAAGGCTCCCTACAAGCAGAAGATCTTATTATAAAACCCTTGATATACCGCATAAAATATAACTTCACAACACATACGTATTGCTCAGAGGTCACGGTCTGAGAACTTCTAGGCTACCTGTGCTGACTACCTGGCTACCTGAGAGACACTGGAATGAAAAGGCCCCTAAATCAGGAAACTTCTATTGCCTCTGACTCTTCCCTGTCTGCTAACTTAAATCCAAAGCCCAGACTCAGTTGGAAGGGTTTTGATAAAAACCAAAATCTTCTGGACTTCTCAAGTCACAGTTGTTGTATCAGGACTTTCTGCTCGCTTCTCATAGCAGAAACTTCAGGAAATTCATTACTAGTGTCCCTGCTTTAGGCTTTCCCCCTTCACCCACCCTCTTGCAAAGTGAAGAGAGATACTGAATTGTAACCCCATCCCAGCAGACTACCTGAGTGTCCCCATCCCAAACCTGAAAACACCCAGAAAACAGACGCACTCTTTACTATGTAAATTTAGGTAACCAAAAAAATAAATGTCCTTAAGGATGATATTTTTTCCCTCGCATTACCAAAAAGGCTACTAAATTTCACGTGAATTACCACAAATCCTTTTACGTCTATGACAAGACTGTGGGAGTAATTTATACCAATTAGTAAACCACCAAGTCTGGGCTTTTCATGTTCAGCTTTCCAAGTACCTTCCAAAGAAACTTGGTAAAAAGTAGACGAATAACTTAGAAGAACAGCAGACAGCTGGTCACAAATTATATAAATACGCAAATGCATTTTCCCTCAAATAAAGTGATATGTAGTGACTGTGAATCAGAGTTCTGAAAAACTATATTGCTGTGTCATTTTTTGTGAAAAGAGTCCTGCATCCCCTCAGCCTCACATTTCACAATATATTCAGCTTCTCTCATCTATAACAGCAGTGCCTTCTCCATCCCAAATAACCATCATCTCAAAATCTGCGTCAAGCTGAGCTCCAGCTGGCCCAGCTGGGCTGCAGTCTGTGACACATATTCTTACCTTCTTAACTTTAAGGAACTGAACCCACTTTAAGGAGTGAACCCCAGAGGAGTTTAAAATTAACAATGTACTTCTGTATTTGCTGGATGGAAGTTCTTATTAGCTTAAAATTATGATTCCCATTGAAGTTTATCTGAAGGAAAGAAAACAGTCAACTGGATTTACTCCTGCAAAACCTCAGGTATATAACAAATACAAACTGAGATTTTTAAAAAATAATAAGAAGCATCTCCAGGGCATTAACAGCCTCTTAATACAAGCCTGTTACATGCTAACTAACACACACAAATTGCCTGAGGAAAAGCAACTGTTATTTTTTAATTTACTTTTAAAAAATATAAAGATTGTCTTTCAACTGAACCTGTTCTACCTCAGTTCGGCAATCGGTTCTCCATTAAGATCCAAGCCTAAAAGATTTCCTTGCTCAGATCTAAGGGTCTCCTCAGGCTTTGCTACAAAGAGATCAATCTTTCCCAGGACCGCAACCTGGAGTTAAGCATCTTCCTAACTTAGTTTTTCTCTAATTTAAAAAATCTGCAAAAACTACGGTTTGAAAAATTTCTAACCTTTGAAAGGATCTGAGCTTTTTCTTTTCCCCTCAGGGCTCCAGCTCGAAGAGGAAACAGTTCATCCCAGGATTTCCTGGGGATTCTAAACATTTTGACTAATAAAAATAAAAGCTTAGAAAAACGTTGACAGGAAAACTGAGAGCAGAGGTTTCCCTGAAATGCTTTTAAGTAAAATCATTCTAATTTTTCATTTTTTAAACAATGGATGTTGCTGTATTTTTATATACAAAAATATGTATACACACAGGCACACACACATATACAAACCACAAACAAACCCTGAGGATAGGACAGTGTCTTTTATGATAAAATATTAAGAAGGCAATAAAAAAATCCTTACTTTACTTCCAATGCTTTTTTTTTTTTTTTTTGCTTCTTTTTGGGTTGTTTGAGGGGTTATTTTGTTATTCTGGCTTCCTGGGGAAACCAGTCCTGTGCATTATTGCTCTGGGTCTGTCTGTCTGTCTGTCTCCTCCTAATAAATTTGGAACCTATTAGCTGATAGCAGTCACATTTGCAGAGGGTTAGAGGTCTTAAAGAAAACTGCCTATATGTTCCTTGAAAATAAGTGCCGGGCTGCAGAGAATCCCACAGTACGAGTTCACTTCTTATGAGACATCAAAGACTCCACATGAGACAGAATGAGTTATTTGGAGTTTACAACAGTAGATGGACCCCTGTGCACCAGACCCCAGATTTCATTAGTGTCAGGACCTTCGTGTCCCCGCTCTCTGCCCCCGAGCAGACCTGGGACGTAGAGGTGATGCTGGCCACCAGCTGCGATCCAGCACTCTGCTACCGCTGCAGGGAGCTCACCACTGGCTTCAAACTACTGCCCGAAAAGCAACTCAAGGGATTTTATTTTAGGAGGGAAGTTAAAATTAGAAACTCCATCACTTGAATATGCTAAAGGAAAACTGTAACCACTTCAACTAGATTTCTAGAGAGGTCTTGCTTAATCAAGCCATAACCACCATGGTTTTGGGTCGGGCGGCTCAAAACAAAGTTAAAGAGAAGCAGGGTCTCGTCGCAGCCGCCTGCTCGTTGGCTGGATTTGTAGATAATTTCCTTCAGAGTCACATTAAAGCCATCTTAAAACCTGAATTTATTTTTCCTTACTGTTCTGATAATGCCACAAAAACAATGCTGTTTCCTCTCCTTCTCTCTGTCTTAATATCAGTGACCCTACGACCTCCAGGCTAAACCCCTATCTGAGTTAAATCTCCCAGAGGTGCCTGAGATTACTGCACAAGTGATGACTTCAAAATAAACACACTTAGAGTGACTGCCTACACACAGTCCCACCTAATAAATACAGCAGACAGTATTTGTTCTGGGAAGTGATGGGAAGTTATGACTTCGGCTCTGGGAAAGTGCATTTTTATTCATGCATTTTATGGTCCTCACATTGGCGCGCTTCGAAAACTGTATTTGCACGCCTATCTCTGGCTCCCGTTTGCGACTGATCAACCATGGACAACAGACAGGGGTTTTCACCCTGCCAGGAGGAAGACTTTTTATCCGAGTGGTGTCATTCTCCTGTGCAAAGCAGCAGCCCAGCACACAGATTTTATCTGGGTGTTTGGCGACACCCGCTCAGCCCTTGGGCAGAGCTATGGGTCCTGTTTCACTGCCTAAGAGAGTGACTGGGCCATTCCTTATGTTCGAGCCAACTGTTGTCACCATCACCCAACAGTGACGTTGATGTAACCCAGCATCACCTTTGCTTTAACCTTTGCTCTTTCGCCTTTATGATCTCGGGCACTTCAGCTACAACCACATCGCAGAGACCAGACTTTGCTACTCATGTGTAAGCTCAGTCCAGGCCTCAGCGAGGGACCAAACAACCCAGTGCAGACCATAGCCAACAGCTTTACTGATTACCTTGACGCGCAAACAGTATTTCTCCGCCACATGTTGCTGGGTTACAGAGCCAGAAGGAGTCATACAAGAATGGAAGGCATGGGTTACAAAAGTCTACCTCACATATAAATCAACTGGAATGTTCAAGGCATTTAACTTTCAACTTCAAAAAGATGAAACATTAGAAAACGTCCAAACCCCTCATACAAAGCGAGCAGACAAAACTGTATTGGGTCTTAAGGTTTCAAAGGAGGCTGGCATTGCATAAAAGTGTTGGCATCAGCAGTTGTGCAAGTTGCCTTGGGACAGTTGGAACTTTGTTTTACAAGCCCATGGGAGAGGCTGGAGGTTTGATTTTATGTGAGATTTTAATGAGATATGGCTTTTAGGTAAGTAAATCCAATCCACAGAAACAGATCTAAAAAAGCATTGCTACCTTTCCAAATAGGGAGAGGAAGTGAATAGACATGTACCTGGACTGGGCTTAGGAACACTTGAGCCTTTCCACCAGAAATCGTGTTCTTCATTGCATTTGGTTTAGGGAGCAAAGCTAGATAAAAATCCCACTTGTTCCAAGGTACTCTCACAAACCGTCATGTATTGGGTTTTACTGTGCCACGAGTCTGCAACTTCAGACTGGATGTTTGAAGGCTCCTGAAGGCCAGCAAACATATTAGTGCTGTATGTGATAGCTAAAGAGGAGAAATCATGGCCTTTGTGCAGGAGAGATTTCTCCTTATCCATCTTATGTGCATTTGTCCCTAGCTGAAGAGAATAAAAAAAGCCCAGAAAATAATACCCAAGTCAACCCTCATCAAATACGGCATCATGCCTGGTGTATGTCAGCTGCTTGTAAGGTCTTTTGGTCATAAGGTCCTGAATGGCATGAAAGAAGAAATAAGATGCTTACTTTTCTAAAAGACGCTATTCAGGTCACAGATTCTTTGCTGTGATCATCACCGAACATCAGCTCAAGGACGCAGAGTTAGCTGTATCCTTTCAGCTCCACGTTTTTAACACTTTTGTAGAGGCAAGTGAGTTGACTTGGGTTGATTATCCTGAAGGCTCACATGCTTTGTCAGAAATCAATTTTTGACAAACTCTGACAGCACCTCGACTCTGTGCCTACCACCTTGTCTAGGAGGCAATACTATGGATTTCTAACCAGGTGGAAAGGTTGCCAGGGCCATCTCTTCCATTTGGCTGACTATAGTTCCAAATGGTGCCACAACGGAAGAGCAGCTTTGTGGGAACATCTAAGAGGCCGTCCTAAAATAAGACAAGGAAACCTTATTTTCAGATAAAATACTTGAGGTGTCCCAAACCTTCGTATGAAATATATTGCTAATAAAATAGACAACAAATTCGGAGAT